GGCGGCGGGTGTTATTACGTGCTGATCTCAAAGTTTGACGGTTTCTATTCACTACCCCCCCCCCATAGATCATCCACCGAGTAGCATATGCTACTCCGTTGCATGCTAGTGACGAGAAGATGGATAAACTGAGTTGGAAATAGGTTGATAAAATAGTAATAGCCAGTTAGGTGATTTAATGCGACTTTAAATACTCTATGGGGTAACCTTTCTTGCGAGGAAGCATGTCCACCGCGTCCTCGGGAAATAATGAACATGAAAATCACTGACCTGAGTGCTATCCAGCGATTTTAAGCGCTGAGCTCTAATGATTGGATAAGGTACCCCACATCAACTTCTCGGGCAATCAAGTAGACTAATAGCAAGCAGCATATTTAAGAAATAAATGAATAGTTTAAAATATCAAGCTTCGATTAGCCCGTTCGTTTGTTCAAAGGCACTAAGCTTGCTACTCTAAAAATGATTGAGCCATTCGCACAAGGTGTTGACCGTCGACCGCGTAGCTTAAGGGTAAGGGTTTGAGGTCCCGACCTGGATGTTTGTGGTTCGAGTCCTGACAGGGACACAAAAAGCACGCACTGCTGACAAGTCCTAAACAAGACCAAAACAGCTCTTTGTAGGTCAGCACATTCCCATCGCAATTTGAAATAAATAGCTTACTTAAACTGTGAGAATATCAAAAGTTTCAATGACATTCCACCTCCGCCATGGACGTGGCCCACACCTCGTTCAAGCGTACAGTAGACGAGGTGACACCGACAAGCCCGATTTCGTCACACCTGTGAAACAATAAAAACGTGAACAACTCACCTGGTCACTGATTTCTAGCGGTTGCTTGTATTTATTCTAGAGGAAACCTTCCCTAGTAGTCAGTCCACGTGTTACCCCTGGTGTGTTCATATGACTTTATAGATTGAGTGCGTAACTGCCTACGCTTTTTACGGCGCACATCGCACCAGTCGAACTAAGAAGTTACACAGATAGCATCGATGCGTGGGTTCGAACCCCACCAGGACTACAAATCATTTAATACTTAAGACATAAGGCCATTGTTTGTCGTAATCTGCTAGACAACAAAACTCAAACAAATACCTTATTTTCATGCGAATTTCAGTGGCAGTAGGTGAAACCGAAGTTTCTTTGATCAGTGTCGATTGGAGTGAGACTGTCGTCAATGAACCGTCCCCTCTCCTATCTAATGACGTCCGACGTTCGATTCGCCACAGTTCTACCAGCCTCGGGGTAAAATCTAGTCTAGACAACTTTAAACTAACCCATACACATCTGTGCTTGGCATGAATGAACCATGTGTAAAAGGAGTCTGTCTAACAGAAATTGATAGGTTTTCTTTTTGAAAGCTCACCATTCATTTGACCTCTGATTTCCTCCATCTGTTGCACGGGTTCAGAAGTGAACTGATCCAAACTGGCACTACTGTCTTCCCGCAGCGCGTCTTCCAAATCCGCTTCGACCGGATCACTGATGGGTACCACATTGAAGTCACTGCAACGGAAAGACAGTGACAAAAATGCATTCAAACAAATTCAAACACCCAATCAGGTTTTTTTTTTTATTGCGGGAATTACTTGCAAACCCATGCTTGTCTTGTCCCCGTAGGACATTTACACAGTTAAATTTTTCTTCGGCAAAAATGATCGTCATATATAGTACCGAGTGGGAGATAACATATAATGTAGTCTTGCATTAATTTGCGTTTTTCATCATAGAAATGTAAAGTATGCCAATGTTTCATCAAGTTTCCATTTGAAAATCTGATGGTTAAAGCACAAACGACATGAGATGGGACAGCGCTCCAAGTGTTACAATTCCACAAGGCGGTGCCGGGACCGGGATAGTCATTCATTGCGAGCAACAGTAAAAAAAATATCGGTCAATCGGCCTACATATCTCATTTGCATGTCTCATTTGCAACAGGTCATCATAATTCTCACAAGCACACAGGAAAGTTAGTGGAACGGTCCAACGTTGGATGCGCATTTCCCGTAGTTACCACTTCGAACACAGCAATTCGATCTAAGAGGTCTCATTCAATTTCGATCGTTGAGAGAAATAGTCAATCACGTTTTTTAAGCAATCTAAATATACCACTCACAACACAAGTTGTGCACACTGATTGCAAAAGACTGACGCCGGTATTTCAGTGAACAGTTTGTAATCAATAACATGAGACGATGTCTTCCAAGGTTTGCGCTGGATGACACGTCACTAGCGGACAACATGAATTGTTTGGGGTTTTTCAATATTTGATACACCAAAATCAAGTGTCTTCCGATTTGTATTAATATTTGTATTTGTATAAATTTTGCAAGCTGAGATCTGCTTACATTTCAGTTAAAAAAATTGTACACTGGACATCACACTGGATAAAATATAGAAGTACAGACAAATCCAATAGGGTGCTGAGTAAAAAATGTCTTCAACGTTTAATTCATTCAATTAAAGATTGACGTAATTCATTTATAACTCGTTCCTGGTTATTATTCGAGCCACCTACAATATAGGGGAGTTTTTATAAATGTTTATTCGAGATAAGACGAACAATTGATCGAGTGGGAGTGACAAGAAGATAAGTAAAAATGCAAAGAATAGGTGGATTCGTTTAGAATCTGATTGGCAAAGGTTATAAAATACTTCATATGATAATTAATGACTCGGTAGAAATTAAAGATGCACGGCTTATTATCATCAGGCCACAACGGACAGTTCTAAAGTCTTGTTTCACCAGACCGGGAAATACTAACTACAGGGGAGCATTAAAGTAAAAGAGGGAGAACGCTTTGTTTAACAAAGGAGAACAAAACGTGTTGGAGAGTGCGAAATTGTCTGAGCTTTCGGAGCTGAAAGGAGAGGCGTCCAAGTTTTCCTAGACGATTTTGAATGTGTCGACCACCGAATTTTATTATCGATAGTAACACTCAGTTATTTGGCTGAGGTCACTCTAGGTTACTATTAAGGGTTACGGAGTCTGACGGGAACGTAGAGCGAGAAGAACTAAAAATGCACTCCAAGCACTTAGATGCGTTGAGATTAAGGCCAGACTGGTTTGAAAACTGTTCGATTGGGGACAGATTTTCACTGAAGGAGGAGGAAAATACCGAAGAAGAAGAAACGGTCTGAAATAAAGCGACATCGTCAGCATACTTTTGGATATGAGCAGGGTGTGGAACTGAAAGATCACTAATGAAAGCAGAGGAAATGTACAGAGAGAGAACAGCACCTTAAAACACACCAGAACTATTGATTGGAGGACTTGAGGTATTCTTGCACAGCTTTGTGCTCTGGATTCTTTCGGTGAAATGATCAGAAAGCCACGAAAATAGCTGTTTTGAAGTGCCAAAAGATTCAAGCTTAAAAAGGAGGGATAGCCAGAACACAGAATCAAATGCAGACGAATAATCGAGAAAAACGCAATGAACAGATTTGACAGAGCTGTTCAATGACTTGCTTATAAAATGGAACAGAGTAGACACAGCATCCAAAGTGGATCTTTGGGATTTATACGCGAACTGAAGAGAATCATAGGATCATGGTGATGAATTCGGCGGTACTGAGTAGAATATAATCCCAATAGGAATTCGTCGTGTATATAGCAAATGAAGCGTGAACTGAAAAGCTCGGAAGCACTGGACAGCTGTTTCGACCTGGTTGGGTCTCATCAGCAGTGCGAATCCATCGACCCTGCTGATGAGACCCAACCAGGTCGAAACAGCTGTCCAGTGCTTCCGAGCTTTTCAGTTCACGCTCCATTTGCTATATACACGACGAATTCCCATTTGAAATATAACCAAATCCGCCATTACTCACATGAAGTAATCCTAATGATTGTAATCATTCGCCGACCAGCACTGTCTCAACAGCATAGGAGATTGAATCACCGAAACGCTTTTATCATACAATGCCAACTTGTCATGCAATGTAAATCAAAGAACCGAACTACGTATTTCATAATAGTGATAGATGGGCTCTATCATTTCTCACTGTTGACGTAAAACTAACCTTCAGAGCCAGTTGGTTAGTGTTGTGTCCCGGTTAAGTAGGTGCATAAGCACGAAGAGGAACTAAGTAGTACATTTATTGCAGTGGGTACACACTGAGCCGGTCCATAGGCCGGTAACATGCAGGAATACCGGCAGGCAGACCAACAACTCGGTTCATTACATCACATCCGAATGCTGTCAAACAAGCATTTAAACAGTCAATCAATCATTGCGGACAGTCCAATACTAACATCTGGGTGGTTGGAGCCGATCGATATGGTGATAGAATCAGTTCGCATGGCCTGAGTGCGTCCGTGTGTGATAGCTGGCAGCATCTGCATCCACCAGTTGGCTATACTTGTTTGTAAAGGTTTATCCTGATGTAAATAGGATGGCGTTGAGAAGAGGGACTTGATAAATGGAACTCACAATGGTGTCGGGATTGATGTGTGGTTCTCTTCAGACAGGGATTGCAGCAACGGAGATACTTGGCAGTTGGTGTAAACAAGCACTGTTTCGTTGGACGGTTCGGTGATTTTTCGGCCTATCCAGAGTAGTAATTGTCTTTTGCTCTCTGTAAATATGCGGTAAATGAGAGCAGAATTCGGAGACATACAAGGAGTAAATATGGTTTCCATGGTAGTGTGAGAACAGAGAGAAGCATAGTAATTGGTACAATTGCTTAAATTTTTCCATTCCGTAGAACATAAACGCAACACTTTTGATTGTACACACTAAACCCCGGTCAATACTGAAAATGCACTTTCTCGGGCTGGAAAATCAGCAGCCAGTTCAAGACATTTACTTGGTCATATGCGGCCGATATACTTTATCTACAAGTTTGAGTGAGTAAATATCTTCCAGCGAGAACTCACTCAGTTTTGCCTCATCGAATATATAAACGGGTAGTAGTCAGAAATCAATGAGAAATTTGTGTTTTAGAAGAAAAAAATCACACAATGAACTGCTGGGATTGATTATAATATTAATGATTACACAAATGTCTGATCATTCGTTCAATTATTGAGGTAACTCGGGGTTGGTGGGTAGAATGACGCCAAGGGAGCTTTAGAGCCGGTATAAATTGTTTTGGGGGCTACAGACTGGTTGATCCCGCTAAGACCATGACTAGGACCAGTCGGGAAACCCACCTTGGTAGTTAACCACGAACAGGGGAAGAATGTGAACACCAGTATGAAAACTGGAACGATTAGGTGGCCCAACCAGATGGAAGAGATCAAATTGTAAAAGTGATCAAGGCATACTGACCCTTGTTCATGTTCGGCTATCAAGACAGATTTCCTCTAGGGTACTAGTCACATTAGAAGCGATATCAACCAGTCCCAACCAGTCCCCCAACTAATTTATGCAGGCGCCTACGTTTCCACGGTCCATTCTTGATGTTCAGAGGAATGTGTATTATCGGATGAATTAACCACCAATTGGGGATAAAATTGTCTTGGAAAGGGGAAAAAAATTGCATCACAGATTATTGATCGTAATATGTGAGGTAATGTGTCGTCATCCTGACGAGTCACGAGCTTGTTCATCACCCTGTGGTTTTGTTTGAACCGGGCTCCTCTGTTCAGTTGAATGAGAAACTCATTGTGAACAAGTGTTCCTGTCTTCGTTTTGGCGC